AAACCAATTCTTGATTGGAAAAATTAGTAATGTTACTGAAGAGGCCCAAGAAAAAAGCTGATAAATGATAATTTTTCATAAACATTAGCGATTCCCTATGTTCAAATCCTTATAATTTTATAGTGCAATCAAAAATACAAAAGAAAGATGATGACAAGTCATTTAAAAGATGTAAGTCAACCAGAAATATTGCAACCGATTATAATAATTCTTTAGCTTCAATTGAAGAATTACTAGAAACTCTTAGAATGTATTCAATATGTATATATTAATTCAAAATTAATAACTTTATGTACAATAATAATAATTAACATCTTTAGAGGCAATTAATTTCTCAAATATTTTTAATGAGAAATTCAATTTTCTTTTATTTTCATAAAATGATATTTCCATTTACATTTAATAAAAATAAAATCATTATTAATATATATCATATATACATACACATATAGATTCATTTCGTCAACAATCATTTCGTCGACAGTCATTCCGTCGACACCCATTTTGTCGAATGTTTGTTTCGTCGAAAATTATTTCGTCACAAAAAAAAAACTTCATTAAACAAATTTCTCCTCACACTTTCCACACACTCCGCTTTTCTCACCTAATTTCTTAACTAACTTCCCACACTCCTCACATCTAACTCATTCGGTCTCTGACTCGAGGATGAATAATTTTCAACGAAATGAACTTTCGACGAAATGAACATTCAACGAAATGAACATTCAATGAATGATTGTCAACGAAATAATTTTCGACGAAGTAAACGCGACCGCTTTTACTATAGCTAAAATTTTCGATAAAACGGGAAACTTTTCTAGTGATTGGTACATTTGATTAATAATTCAAATTTCTAAGAATTCCACAGATTACTAATGATTGCTCTTATGATCTTTATTTATGTGTCCTTTAAATATGAATAAGTAAATTATAATAGTACAATATATCATAACTAAGGATAAAAATTATTACTAAATATAGATATGAATATAAGAAATATAAGAAAATATTATACTGGTCTCCGTTCTATATTTGGTAAGGTACGGGCCTAGCTACCAGTTATTTTTCGTGACAATATTTGAATATATTTGTTTTGTTTTTCGGATGTGTTACGTATATTAACAAGATTTAACTGTGTATTTGTGAGAGCTTTTTATAACAGATAATATAAGAACTAAATAAGAATATGTGATAAATTAATGTAAATGATTTATATATTTTTATTAGTTAAACTTAGTAATAATGATAAATTAGGTAGAATAAAAAAAGATCATAATTTTTTGACAAATAAATAAATAATATGCAATAGTTAAAATTTTTGAAATATATTGAACAAAAAATGTTCTATTCCAAATTGATATTTTTTTC